TAGTTAATAACGAGTAGATGATTCACACGTCCCGCCACCAAGTAAAAAGAGTAATCACTCAACCAGTTTGATACCATGCCACTTTGTAACAAAACAATGTAGGAAAAATATGTTGTAGCTAAATTATTACCGTTTGATTTTCCCTAAATATATGAGGGTTTTTTTCCTTCCAAGAAATAGACCCACTATATTAAACAATGAAAGCAAATTCAGTCACAAGCCATCAAACTAAATCAGGAGAAAAGGAACTAGTAAGTTCAGTGCTAAACCAAATAAACAAAGAAACGAAAGTAGAGCTTAGACATCCTGGAAACTTGATGTGCAAAAGAACAGATTCAACAGAAATGGAAAAAAGAAGTACCTAAGTCTTACATAACAAGAGTTGATGATACTGCCAGTTAAGATGAAACTTGCAAATCCATGGTTGCCTTTGCTGAGAAGAGAGAAGGTAGAAAAGGAAATGCTTGGAAGGAACTAGGTTGCCCATTTATCTCTAGAGTCTTGAATCTGTTTCCTATAGGATCATAAGAAACAAGAGTACTCTCACCATACTGCAACAGAATCTCACCATTCTTCAGATCACAAACAACTCTTGGAACTCTATTCATGAAGCCTGAAGCTGATGAACCTCGTATCATTGTCAAACCGAGAGGGACATTAGGGACAAAGGAGTATTCTTTCTTCCAAGAATCCTCCACTTTGTATTGTTTCATTACCCAAATATCAAATTGCGCTGTTTCACCTAAGCCAGCTGCCGAGAGACACCCATTCAACACAGAAAGACTGTATCTGCTGGATACAAGTGATTGACAAGGTGGGTGAGGAATTTCTTCAAACACCTCATCTGCAAGCTGGAAGGAGACGATAGCGTGGTAAAATCCAAATCCCTCATCAGCCACTACAACCCAATGTAAAGATCCTTCCACTAAAGCCTCAGGTGGTCTCAATTCAAGCCGTTTTGCTATATTTTCCTTGTCTCTCCATTCTCCGGTTCCTAGAGTGAACACCTGAAATGCTTTTTCAGCAACGCCACATATCGCTCTCCCTTCAAGCTTCAGGAGTTTTGCATAATACCCAATCCTGACAACTTTGTATTCTCGGGTAATGGGATGAAACCCAAATCCAAAGACTTCCCTTAGGCTCGAAAATCGGTTCGCCGGTTCTGTTCGGATTGCCACAGGATCTCCAACAAAAGGATTGTAAATCTCCAGACTCCGAATCGCCGATTCACCAGAGTTTAGATGACAAGAAACACATAATAACCCATTACAACAACCCACCA